CCAAGCTTCACTTGGGGCACTCGTGAGCAGAGTGACGGCACCTCATAATTAGGTTGGTCTGCGCGAGGGCCTCCCGCGCGACCTCCGGAAGCTTGTGCTCATGCGAGCGCTTGTGCTTCGCCCTTCACCACCACCTCCGCCCCCACCCTCCCCACCCCCCACCACCAGCCCAGACCAGCCCCGCCCGAATCGTCGTAGACGTCGGTCACTGACAACTGGTTGGTATCTTTGCCCGTTCCGGTCGCAAGGACACGCATAGGTAGTGCAATGATGTCTGTATTATCGTCCAGTGGGAGATCATGGGAGGCGTATCGAAAATCATACCAAAAGAGCATGAGTTTGTTCTGGTGCTGATCTGTGGCTTGGATTGCACCAGGCCATTTTGGAGTCCAATTTTGCCGTCCTGGGCGCCTCGTGGACCGTCTTGGAACTCTCTTGGGGGCCACCTAGGCCGTCTTGGGAGCCTCTTCGGACGTGTTGGACGCGGTGAAAACCCAACAGGCGACCATGCGAAAAGTATACGTTTTCCCCATTGGAATGGGACCATTTTTGCTTCTTGGACCTCTCTTGGGGTGCCTCTCGGAACGTCTTGGGGTGCTTTTGGAAGCCTTTTGGCGCCTCTTGGCGGCGTTTTGGCGCCTCCTGGGATCTCTTGGGCCGGAAGCTCGGAATTCGAGGTTGGCTTTCTCCGTCTGGGACCCCTCTCGAACTCGTCTTGGGGCTCTCTTGGGCCGTCTTGGGGCCGTCCTGGGCCACTCGTGCGCAGCCTTGGAGCGCTCCCGGAGGCCTCGTAGACCGTCTTGGGCGCCTCTTGGGCCGTCTTGGACGCGGTGAAAGCCCAAGAGGCGAACATGCGAAAAATATACGTTTTCCCATAGGAATGGCACGATTTTTGCTTCTTGGACCTCTCTTGGGGTGCCTCTCGGAACGTCTTGGGGTGCTTTTGGGAGCCTTTTGGCGCCTCTTGGCGGCATTTTGGCGCCTCCTGGAGCCTCTTGGGCCGGAAGCTCGGAATTCGAGGTTGGCTTTCTCCGTCTGGGACCCCTCTCGAACTCGTCTTGGGGCTCTCTTGGGCCGTCTTGGGGCCGTCCTGGGCCACTCGTGCGCAGCCTTGGAGCGCTCCCGGAGGCCTCGTAGACCGTCTTGGGCGCCTCTTGGGCCGTCTTGGACGCGGTGAAAGCCCAAGAGGCGAACATGCGAAAAATATACGTTTTCCCATAGGAATGGCACGATTTTTGCTTCTTGGGCCTCTCTTGGGCTGCCTCTCGGAGCGTCTTGGAGGCTTCTGGGACCTTCTTGGTGTCATGACAGGCGTCTTGGAAGGCATCTGGAGCCATCGGAGCGCGTTCCGAAGCCGCCTGCGAACGATCTTGGACGGCGTCCGGCGGTCCGACGAGCCTCCGGGCCCCCCGGGGCCCACATTTGCGGTCGGGGTCCCGGCCCCGGGCCCCCGGACCCGGTGCGCCGTTATATGTATATGCCCGAGCTGAGGCAGGCTAAGGCCGAGGCAGGCTGAGGCCGAGGCAGGCTGAGGCTGAGGCTGAGGCACGCCGAGGCAGGCTGAGGCTGAGGCTGAGGCAGGCTGAGGCTGAGGCAGGCTGAGGCTGAGGCTGACGCAGGCTGAGGCCGAGGCAGGCTGAGGCTGAGGCTGAGGCAGGCTGAGGCTGAGGCAGGCTGAGGCTGAGGCTGAGGCAGGCTGAGGCTGAGGCTGAGGCTGCAGGCTGAGGCTGAGGCCGAGGCAAGCCGAGGCTGAGGCCGAGGCTGAGGCTGATGCTGAGGCAGGCTGAGGCTGAGAGGCTGAGGCTGAGGCAGGCTGAGGCTGAGGCAGGCTGAGGCTGAGGCCGAGGCAGGCTCAGGCCGAGACAGGCTGAGGCTGAGACTGAGGCTGAGGCTGAGGATGAGGCCGAGGCAGGCCGAAGCTGAGACAAGGTGAGGCTGAATGGGGGGGCGGGAAGGGGGGGGGGAGGAGGGGAGGCTGAGGCAGGCTGAGGCCGAGGCAGGCTGAGGCCGAGGCAGGCTGAGGCTGAGGCAAAGGCAAGCCGAGGCAGGCTGAGGCTGAGGCTGAGGCTGAGGCTGAGGCAGGCTGAGGCTGAGGCAGGCTGAGGCTGAGGCTGACGCAGGCTCAGGCCGAGGCAGGCTGAGGCTGAGGCTGAGGCAGGCTGAGGCTGAGGCCGAGGCAGGCTGAGGCATCCGTAGTAATCCATAGGAATCCTTAGGAATCCCTAGGAATCCTTAGGAATCCGTAGGCATCCTTAGGAATCCGTAGGCATAGTTAAGCATCCTCAGGAATCCTTCGGAATCCTTGGGATTCCCTAGGAATCCTTAGGAATCCCTAGGAATCCCTAGGAATCAGCATTCCTAAGGATTCCTAAGGTTTCCTATGGATTCCTATGGATTCCTAAGGATGCCCAAGGATGCCTTAGGAATCCCTAGGAATCCTTAGGATTCCATTGGATACTAAGGCCGTTGCCACTGCGACTGTCATTGCGAATGCGACTGCGACTGCGAGAACATCAGAATTCTACAACTGGATTCTCACCTGAATCTTAAAAGCAATGCTTCCAGATATGCTTATACACATCGCTGTTATGTTGCTTTGCCGGTATAGTGTTTTAGGGTTCCGCGATGTGTCAGAGGGTCCGTTCTCGCCCGAGATGGCTCCAAGAGGGCCTCCGAAGCTCCAAGATGGCCTCAAAGAAGGCTCAAGATGGCCGACGATGGCTCAAAATGGCTGTCAACATGCTCCAAGACGGCCCCAAGTGCTCTCGGAGCCCCCTCAGGATCTCCACACGGAAACGGTGCGGTGACAAACCGTGCGGTGACCTCGAAATCCCCCAAGACCGCACCGCACGGTCCGTCACCGCGCGGTCTTGGGACCCCGGAGGCCCCTGTCGCCAGAGACGTCCTCGGAGACGGCCTCGAGTCCCAAAACCGTGCGGTGACCCCGAATCCCCACCGACTCACCACACGGTGTGTCACCACCCTGTTTGGGGCCCCCCACAGGAAGCCAACATCGCATAACAACCGGAGGGAAATCACCGAGTCTCGCCGTCTCGCCTTGTCGCTTTCGACTGGCTTCTGAGGCCTCAGGACGGCCTAAGAGAACCCCAAGAAGAGCTCAAGAGGCCCCCTAGACGGCGCCAAGAGCCCCAAGAGGGGCCCAAGATGGTCCCAAGAGGGGCCCAAGAGGCCTCGAGACGACCTAAGAGAGCCCCAAGAGGGGCCCAAGAGGCCCCCTAGACGGCGCCAAGAGCGCCCGAGAACGCCCCAAGTGGGCCTCCAAGAGGCGGCCCCGAAGGCTCTTGAGGGGGGAATCGAACTGGGGACCCCCGCCCTTTGATCGATGGCCTCCGAGACGGCCCGAAGAGCTCCTCCCGGGCTCCACGTCCTCTGCGCAGCAGCAAGATGCCACAGTACGGGCAGGCCAAAGTGTGACGTCGGGCGCGCCGCCGAGATGACGGCGGCGCCGGCACGTCCAGACGCGAGGCGGCCGCAGGGGCCGCCGCCCAGACTGGCGGCCTCGAGAAGCCAGCGGAAACAGGCAAGTGAAGGCGGGGGCCGCCCAAGACGGCCCCACGTTGGCCCCAAGGCCCCCCCACGAGAGCCCAAAGAGGGCCCCCAGGCTCCCCAACGAGGGCACCAAGATGATCCCCAAGAGGACGCCGAAAAGGCCTCCAGAAGACCCCTCGTCAAACAACACCCATCAACTGCACGGATGGATGGGGTGTTGGTTTTCAAAATGCGGTTTTCGCCTCAGGGCCGCGCCCACACGCTGCCAACAACAATCAAGCAACTACAAGGATTGATGCTGGCTCGTTTTTCAAAATGCGACGATCGCGTGAGACATCCTCGAATTCTTCGACCCGAAGTTCCACATTGTGCAGCAGCTACACGGATGGAGGGCGGCTCCTTCTGAACGCGGGGGTCTCGTTTGAGGGCTCTGTGAAACCTGCGACCACGACTCTGCCACGACACGACGCCTACGCTGGCGGGCGGCCGATGCTTGTCGGAACGGGCTATCGCTGGGCCCGCCCTGGGACTTTATCATCCTAACTCCAAGCCGGGTGGAGAACCCCCAGCGCGACCCCCACCCCCTCGTCCTCCTCCTCCTCCTCCTCCTCCTCCTCCTCCTCCTCCTCCTCCTCTTCCTCCTCCTCCTCCTCCTCCTCCTCTCCCTCCTCCTCCTCCTCCTCCTCCTCCTCCTCGTCCTCCTCCTCCTGCTCCTCTTTGGGGCGCTCTTGGAGGCCTCTCGTGGCCCCCTTGTGCCCTCTTTGGGGCGCTCTTGGATAGAGGAAGGAACAAACACACGAACATAAACTGTCGACGCTCCGCGCGGACTTCTTGGATTTGTGCTGGGCCCCTCTCCCCGGCGCGCGAAGCGCGGCAGGGGCGGCGCCGGAGGCGCCGCAGGGGGGCCACAGCGCGGATCCCAGAAATCCGCGCGGAGCGCCACAAATTTATGTTTTGTGGCGTTTTGTCTCCTTCGATTGGAGGCCTCTCGTCCCGCCTCGGGACGGTCATTTCTTGTTGCGAGGCAGGCGATCTCCAGTACAGACGTCAGCGAGCTATGTCGGGCGGGGGCCGAGGAGAGGGGCGAGGAAGACGAGGAACGCAGGACAGAGGACGGACGAGAGAGGAGGATGGCACGGAGCTGCTCACCGAGCAGAAGAGGGGTGCAAGGTGCAGGCTTATCACACATGCAGATGGGCCCCCCACGGACTCCTTGGTCGTCGGCGCGACCAGAAGATCAGTCGTTGGCAGAGCGCAGTGACCCCGAATCAAATGTGGGTGTCTGTTCGCGTTGGCTCTGGGCGGCGTGCGCAGCCGAGGTGTGCTGCGGCCGCCTTGTGTGCGCGCGTGCGTCTGGCGCCATGATTCAGCTGTGAATCCTACTTTGCTCCGCCTTGGCCCGAAGGGAGGGGGTCCTGAAAGAGACGGGTCCTGGGCCGGGGGTCTTCCACTGGGACCGGCCCTTCATGGCGACCGGCGCGAGGCCTCACTCAAATGCCGTGGCCAGTCCTGATCGCCTTGGCGTTGCGGGAGTCGGGGTCCCGCCAGACCTCGCAGCCCGGCAGCTGCGCCCAGCGCTTCTCCAGCACGTCCAGCTCCTTGTCGGGCGCCATCTGCGCCAGGACGTGGAGGGTCGTGCCCCTCGTCTCGTGGATGTACTGAAGGAGCGCCCAGCACATGCAGTCGTCCACCTCGCAGTCCATGAAGAACTTGTTCGGAACCCACAGGCCCTTCAAGTCTCCGGCCATGACCTTGCTGGTGAACTGGTCGATCTGCCTGGCGACGTCCAAGTCGCTGAGACCTTTAGCAGAAGCGCCAGACATGGCGAACACCAGGTTGACCACGTCCGTGAGCGCTCCTTTAGGGCCATACGCGGAGAAGGCCTTGCTGAGCCAACGATAAGCGTGCTGCTCAAACGTTACAGTCTCCCCGTCCTCCTTCACGAACTGCGCTGCCCTCAGCTCGTCGGAGGCCTCCTTTGCGAAGCCGAAGTTCTCGAGCAGGTGGTCGAAATGGAGCCTCGACTCCCACCCTGCTGGCACGTGCTCCAGGACAAACGCCTGCCAGGAGGCAACGTCGGGGACCGATTTGCTATCGAGCGCCTTGAACGCTTGCACAAACCTCTCAAGCTTGTCGATGGCGCCCGCGTTCTTGTCGGCGATCGCGGCGGTTTGTCGAGCGTACCTGATCATGTCGTGCACTTTCACCATCTTATCCTGGACGAAGGTGCTAAGCACGTAAGTTGGAATCACGACGCCGAGCTGTTTGGCAACGCGCAGAATCGCTTCAGTCGAAAAGATACGCATGACCGAATTGGCGATGTTTGGCCCAAAAGTGGGAACATTGAACTGTTCTACGAACGCAGGCACATCCATCTTGTTCGCGTTGTTGAAAGGCGGCATGGAGGCCTTAATCTCCAGCTGGGCCTCGGAGTACTCATGAAGCCACGCATGCCGCCTGTCAGCGTGTCCCTTGGTAAGATGCCCACTCCAGAATACCTTCACGCCGTCATCCATTTCGACAGCTTTGGCCGACCAACAGCTACCCATCTGCGCTGCCAGACCTACACCGGTGTCGATGCTCAGCCGACACGTCTTGAGCCAGAACGGCCACGGACCCGTCTCGGGACGATCTTGGGGGGCTCTTGGGACGTCGTGGAGAGCCGGGAGCTAGAAAAGTCGAGCGCCCCGAAAACAGTCTCACAAAAAAACGTATGGAAAATCAACGGCCTTTGCCTCTTGGAGCCCTCTGGGGAGGCGCTCGGCGAGCCAGCCCCTCTCGAGCAGTCTGGGGGCATCTTGGGACGGAAGCTCGAGGTGTTCTTTCGGGCTCCTGCTCGTGGGCCCCTCTTGGGGCCGTCTCGAGGCCCTCCCTGGCCGTCTTGGGCCAAGAGGGCCGTCTTGGGACCCTCTTGGCCCGTCTTGGGACCCTCTTGGGGGCCTCCTGGGTCGTCTTGGGGCGGTCTTGGGAGCCTCCTGGGACGTCGTGGAGCGGCGGAGGCTCGGAAATCGAGGACCCCTGAAACATGAAAGCACCTAGAGAAAATACATTGTTTTTGCCGCTTGGGGCCCTCTGGGGAGCGCTCGTCGAGTTCTCTTGAGCCGTCTTGAAGCTATCTGGGGCTGCCCCGAAGCCCCGCGAGACATCTGGAAGCCTCCTGATATCTCTGTGACGCCACCCGAGGCCGTCTGGGCGGCCCTCGGGCCGCTGGCGAGTGTGCCCTGGGAGTCCGGCGCCCCCATGGCAATTCGGGGCAGCTGGGCGAAGGCCCCAACCCTGTACCCCGATAGATATATACATGAACCACGCGCGCGCTTCGCGCGCGCTTAGGTTCTAGCTAGGATCGTCACCGTCGTCATCATGAACATCACCATCGCCATCATTCCCCCCGCCAGGGCTAATGTACATCGTTTCTGGATGCTTCTGGCCGGAATACGAAAGGAGTTTCTGTAGTTAGAGTCTCTGGGGGAAGTCGCGGGGCCCCTCAGGATACGTACGGATGCCTCTGATAATCCCCCAGCGTGCCCCACGAGATGGCCAGAGGGTGCCCGAACAGAACCCGAGGACGTCGACGACGGCGGCGATGAAGACGGCGGCGATCGCGGCGACGAAGGTAGCGGCGGTTGCCATGGGTTAGTACCCAATCAGAGCTTGCCTCTGTAAGGGTCCTGGCGGATTAAAAGGTTCGATGAGGTTCGGCAAAATTCCGGCCCCATGCGGCCGGGCCGGGTGCCCGGGTGCCCGGGTGCCCGGGTGCCCGGTGCCTGGGTGCCTGGGTGCCCGGTGCCCGGGTGCCGGGGTGCCTGGGGGTGCCCTATCGCCCTATAGCCCTGTAGCCCTATTGCCCTATAGCCGTATAGCCCTATAGGACTATAGCCCAATAGCCCTATATCCCTATATCCATCTAGCCCTTTAGCTCTATAGCCCTCTGATCCTATAGCCCTGTAGCCCTATAGCCCCATAGCTCTACAGCCCAACAACCCTATAGCCCAATAGCCGAATAGCCCACATAGCCCTATAGCCCTATGGCCCTAGCCTATAGGACTATAGCCCAATAGCCCTATATTCCTATATCCATCTAGCCCTTTAGCTCTATGGCCCTCTGATCCTATAGCCCTGTAGCCCTATAGCCCCATAGCTCTACAGCCCAACAACCCTATAGCCCAATAGCCGAATAGCCCACATAGCCCTATAGCCCTATGGCCCTAGCCCTATAGCCCTATAGCCCTACAGCCCTATAGCCCTGTAGCCCAATAGCCCTGTAGCCCAAGTCGTTTTCATCCTGAGTCGTTTTCTGACGGTCCCGGGAACCTGCGAAGGGCCCCGGAGGCCGAAAATTAACAAAAACCGCCGTCGTGATTTTTCCAAGACGTCGGAGGTCCAGGTCGTGCTTCCCGCCTCCCCAGACCTCCGACGTCGTAATTTTTGCGACCTCGGGCCCAGGAATCGATTGGGAAAACGCACATGGGAAGGCAAGAAATGATGGACCCATCATTTCGTACCTGTGCCTTGATCAGTGGGACGGGCTTCGCACCGCCGCACATCACAAGACACGCTCGAGCGGATCCAGCCGTGGCGACGTCGGGGACTGCAGAAGGTCGCAAGGACACAGAATGTGAAAGGAAGAGAGAGAAAGAGAGAAAGAGAGGGAGAGAGAGACAGACAGACAGAGAGCGAAGGAGAGAGAGAGAGAGAGAAAGAGAGATGGAGAGAGAGAGAGAGAGAGAGAGAAATAAAAAAAAGACACAGAGATAGAGAGAGGCAGAGAGAGGAAATGGAGAGGAGGCGAGCTTGAGTCAACGAAAGTCGCAGGGAGCGGGGCAGGGGGAAGAAGGCCAGAGAGCGCTGAAGGATACAAATACTGGAACCCTCTTGGGATTTTTTGGGGGGCCTCGTCCGGCCGCTCGCTGGGAGTTTGACGTAGCTTCTCGGGAGCCTCTGAACCTGTCGGAGGCCTCCTGGAAGCAGGTTCGAAGCATTTTGGGGGCCGATTTGGGGCTTCTCGGGGCCTCCTTTGGGCCTCTTGGGGGTCTCCTGGGACCTCTTGAGGGGCCTCCTTGGGGCCTCCTGGCGGCCTCTTGGGGCGGAAGGCTCGAGCTTGCGGTTCGTGGTCCCCCTCTGGGCCCCCTCTTGGGCCCGTCTTGGGGCCCTCTTGGGCCATCTTGGGCGCCTCTTGGGCCGTCTTGGGGCCCTCTTGGGCTGTCCTGGGGCCCTCTTGGAAGCTTCTTGGGCCGTCTTGGGGCGGTCTTGGGCGCCTCTTGGGCCGTCCTGTCACGTCGGAAAGCCCAAAAGGCAACTTTGTGAAACATGTACGTTTTACGAAGGGAATGGGCCAATTTTTGCGTCTAGGGGCCCTCTTGGGGCGCTTGTTGGAGGCTTCTTGGGGCGTCTTGGGGGCGTCCTTGGACGTCTGGAGGCCATCTTCAGCATCTTGGAGCCCTCTTGGAGGCCTCTTGGAAATTGCTTGGGCCGTCTTGGGCGCTTCTTGGGCCGTCTTGTCTGACCGGGGAGGCCTCCGGCAAGCCCCGACGAGCCTCCGGGCCCCCCGGAGCCCACATTTGTGGTCGGGGTCCCGGCCCCGGGCCCCCGGACCCGGTGCGCCGTTATATGTATACATATACATAACGCCCGCGATTCGATACATAACGCCAGCGATCCGGGGTCGATGTATCCCTCCCTGAGCCTATCCCCCCCCCCACGCTGCCCCTGGAGACAAGGAGCCCAGTAAAGGTCCTCCAGGTCGAAGCCGGCAGAGGAGCCCGCGACGTCGCCGCCTCCGCGCCCGGCCGCCGGACCGCTGCCCAGTCCTCTTCGGAGCCAAGGCCTGGGCCCCAACAAAACGCCCACGCAGCGCAATGTACCTCCCTATCTCGGGCCGGGCGAAAGGGGGGGATAGCAAAGGGGGGGTTTGATATTTAGCTCACGTAGCTAATTTTCCCAGCGCCTCCCGGCGCCAGGAGGCGCCCATGTATCGAGGAATGGGCCCATCGGTGGGGCCGAAACCAGATGCATGCAGCGGATTTCGTAACCCCCCCTTTCCCAATCCCCCCCTTTCGTTCGGCCCGACTATCCTCCATCCCTTTTCCTGATAAGCAACTCCTCGAGGGCAGGGCGTTTCGCCCGAGACTGCCTCGCAAAATTTGATACTGAAGGTTGGCAGCGGCTTCAGGGATGGAGGGCGGGCAGTTTCCAGAATGCTGTTCTCGCATTGGCGCCGCATACGTCGTCTTAAACATGTGCAACGGCTTCAAGGATTGAGGGCGGGTGGATTACAAAGTGTTGTTCTCGCCTCAACGCCGCGCACATTCGTTTTTTGTTATGTGAAGCAACTTCAATGATGAAAGGTGGCTTCATTTGCAAATGGAGCTCTTGCCCTAACGCCGCGCACATTGGTCATAACTGTTTGCAACGGCTTGAAATATGCGTATGGCTGAAATGCCAGAAGCACTTTTCTGGCACGATTTAGGAATGCTGGGGCGCAACAATCACGTCGATTCGCGGTATTGATGTCTCCAGGACGGTGTTCTCGGGCACGATGTAAGGTTGCCAAGACACGGCCGCCACATTGATTCGCGACGTTGAAATTCCAGTAATGGTATTTTGGCACGATTGATGATTCTCAGGCGGCTGTCTTGCAATGGTGCACTTGCCGCAATGGGTTTGTGTGACGGGGCTAGAGGCACCAGAATTACTGCAACATCGTGGATGCGTCTGGGGCTTACACTGGTCCTCATCCTTTGTTTCCTCCTGCTCACTCTCATCCTTCCACTCTTCCTTTTCCTCCTCCTCCCTCTCCGCTTCCCCTTCCTCCAAGTCCTCAAACTCCACTTCCTCCTCCTCCTCCTCCTCCTCCTCCTCTTGCTCCTCCTCGTTCCTCTTCTTAAACCTCATCCTCTTTCTTCTTCCTCATACTACTTCGGAAATTGGCGCCGCACAGGCATTGTTAGGGCAACTATCACATTCTAAATGCTACGCCCCCTTTCGTCGTCATCCTCCTCCTTTTCCTCCTCCTCCTCGTGTTCCTTTTTGCCTTGCTTTGTGCATGTCCCGTGCCTCGCCCGCCCCGTGTCCTAAATGTCCCCTTGCCCACGTCCGTCCTGCCCTGCTGCTGCTGCGCTGCTCCTCCTCCTCCCCCTCGATGAGGATCAAGGCGGCGGGGGTCAGTGAAGCTCCCTGTGCACCTGGAAGTCCCCACAAGGCCGTTGGGGTCCACCTCGAGGGTCGAGGATCGAGGTTTTGCTGCATGCTCTGCATTCTGTTCAAATTTATTTCGGGCCTAGCCTGGATTTATTTGGTCGCACCCGTTACGCGACGGTCGCATTCTCGGGCGTCAAGGGCGCAACCTATCGCGCAACCGATTGGGGACGGTTTTACTCTCAGCCGCCGAGGGCGCAACCTATGGCGCAACCGATAAATAACAGTGTCATTCTCGGCCGCCAAAGGCGCAACTCATGGCGCAACCGATAGGAGACGGTGTTATTCTCAGCCGCCGAAGGCGCAACCTATGGCGCAACCGATGAGTAACGGCTATGTGCTCGGCGGCCGAGGG